GGTCTCCGGCCGACTATTTATAGCACTCACTTCAATCCCCTCCTCCTCATAGGCCCTAGATAAAGCGTCTGGCACCACATTGAGATCCCCTCTTCGATATTCGATATCGAAGACATTGCCTTGCAATGCTAGCGCCCATCGCGCTAATCTTCCCGTGGGATTTCTCATATTGTGGAGCCATTTCAGGCAACTATGATCAGTGATGACCTTGAAGTGATGCCCTTCAATATACGGCCGGAACTTTCCAATGGCCCATACCACTGCCAAGCACTCTTTCTCGGAGACCGTATAATTTCTCTCGGCACTGTTGAGTGATCGGCTGGCGTATTCTATTACACGCTCTTCTCCATCGACATCCTGTGCGAGAACTGTCCCGATTCCACTGTCACTGGCATCAGTTTGCAGTACAAACTGACCGTTCGGATCGGGTGATTGCAGTATTGGGGCAGAAGTCATCGCCTCCTGCAATCTCGTGAAAGCTCGCTCTTGCTCCTCCTCCCAAGAGAAACGTACATTCTTCTTTGTCAGGCGGTTTATAGGTTCAGCGATCATGGCAAAGTCGGATATAAAACGTCTATACCACGAGGTCATTCCCATGAACCGCCTCACCTGTTTGACAGTCCGGGGTGTTGGATATTCTAATATCGGGCGTATTTTCTCGGGATCTGGTCTTACTCCGTCCTGGTTCACAAGAACTCCCAAGTACATGACTTCCGTCTTACAGAAGTGACTTTTATCTTTGTTGATGGTTAGGCCCGCACCTAGAATTCTTTTTAATACCCTTTCTAGGTGCCGCTTATGCTCCTTAAAGGACGACGAAACCACAATTACGTCGTCAAGGTAAGCAAAAGCGAATGGATCCATATCCGGGCCTATCACCTTGTCCATCAACCTATGGAAGGTCGCTCCTGCGTATGACAGTCCGAAGGGCATTCTCTTAAATTGAAAGTGCCCTAATCCAGGAACTGTCAACGCTGATATTGGACGCGATTCTTCCTTTAAGGGAATTTGATGGTACGCACTGCTCAAGTCCAAAGTAGATATGAACTTTGCATCCCTTATTCGTCTTAGGATGTCGTTCATATATGGTAAAGGATAGGCATCAGGTTTGGTAATTGCATTTACCTTTTGATAATTCACACAAAACCTATATTTTCCATCTGCCTTCTTTACCATTACTACTGGACTTGACCATCCGCTGGTCGCTGGTTCGATAACATCCTTTTCCAGCATATCTTTGACCAGCGTGTGCATTTCCTCTCGCACTCTATCTGAGACTGGGTAGTACTTCTGTTTGATGGGTCGAGCATTTCCAACATCTATTTCATGCTCAACCCCCACGGCACAACCTAAAGCCTGACCCCCGTCAGGAATCAATCTTCTAACAAGGTCTTCTATTTCTTCCAGCTGTGGCTTCCCACAGTCCTGCAGGTGCGAGAAATGCCGTACCATCAGTTTCAGCCACTTCCATTGGTACATTTATCTGGGCGTCCTTAAGCCATAATTCATCCTCATCGGGATTCAAAACTACGCGGAACTCTCTTATAAAGTTCGCGCCTACGTAGCAGTTATCCGTGAGCAGCGGCGTAATGGCAACTCTGATTGTCTTCGTGATTCCCCCTACTTTAAAAGGGAATTTCACGTGACCAATTATAGGGCACGGGCGTCCATCAGCAAGCCTTGCATCGCCCGCCCTGGTCACATTCAACCCGAGTCCCATCTCCGATGCCAATCTTAGCCCTAATTGACCCATGACCGTGGATGAGGCGCCGGTATCATAGAGTGCTCTAATTTTAAAGTCACCTATGTCTACCCGCAACCACCACCTGGTCTCATCCTCGGGGTCATATCCACGAGTCCCATCTTCGCCTCCTTTCATCGTGCTTTTCAGCGGCTTTTTTCCTTCCGCTGCCGCGACGACGGTGGGCTGGCTACTACTCGTGGATCCCTTCGGCAGAGGAGCTTTTTGTGTGGAGGGGCTCTCCCTGAAGTCTTCCCCCTCCTCCACAACCTGTATGTGGCCATCTGGTCCTTTCAGGATAACCACTCCCCTATTCTGCCGAGGGGTGACATCGGGTTCAATTGCCTTCCGCTCTAATATACTGCTAGGTCCTGGGCTCTCTTGATGCCCTCCCAGGACTTGTTTGGATCCCTGGGTCGCCGACAACTTGCTGTTTCCCATCGGCGACCCGCAGCGAGAGGTCGAATTTACTGGAGGCGCGAAGATGACCTCTTCTCTTCGCTCTCCTTGCAGTTTCCCTTGTTGCAATCTGGGCAAAACTTGCGACTAAAACCCAGTTTGCCTCAAGCGGAACACTGGAGAGGCTTAGTAAAAAATTCTTATGTTTAGGCTTAGTAAAGTCTATCTTCCGCCTCTGCCCTTCTTGCCGCTCGCCAGGAGACCTGGAAGAAGGAGAATTTTTTCTTCCTCCACGCCATCGGCTCTTACGCTGTTCTGGAGGGCTGCCTTGCTTGTCATTGGCCAACTTGCGCAATATCCGCTCGATGCCCTCCAGACGTTTTTCCATCTTCTTATCAGAAGTGAAAGCTTACGTAGCCGATACCGATGCTTGTTCGGTGGGCCTCCTGGCGGGGTTCTCCACGCCCAGTCCGCGCTGCGGATCTCCCTCCTTCTTCGCACGCGCCTTCCCTTCGCTTGCCATTGCAGCGGTTTGGGATTTACTACCAGCCGTTCTTTTGCTCGGCTGGTAGGCATGCTGAGGGAAGATCGTCGAGTTGGGGTCAGCGAATACACGTGGACGGCGACCATAAGATAAGGTGTTCTGTACCTCGGTCGCCCTCCTGTTCAATTCACGTATCGACGTCATCTCGCTCCGACGCAGCTGGATTTGGATGCTTGGAAGGAGGTTTGCATGGAGTAGGTCTAATAACCTCTCCAAGGGCATGGGCGGTTCTAGTCTATTGACAAGAGCCACCAGGTTGGACACGTAGTCTCGCACTAGTTCGTCCTCACCCTAGAACCGGTTCTGGGCTTCCTGCAACAGCCTTTGTTGCTGTTGCGTACTTGTGCCAAACCAATCCCGGGTGTCCGCGACGAATTCGTCATAACTGAGCCACTGGTACTTGTTGTTATCGTACCAGGTCCTCGCGTTACCTTCGAGGATCTCTGATACGGAACAAAGCACTTCGTCGTCAGTTAGTCCTGCACCTACGCGCAGATTCTCCAACCTCGACAGAAACGTATCTACGCTCTGTGCCCTACTGCCCGCAAACCTCAATTTCCATCCGCGGACAATTTTCCCAACATCTCGGGTTGTGGAGAGCCCTGAGAATATCTGATGTCCGGTGCCAGATGATCCGCTTCGACTCCTCTGTCGAACGGGTGCGGATCTCCCATAAACTTCCGGATTCTCTTCACCTCCTCTTCGTTGGAGGACTTCCGGTGTGGTGACGTTCCTTCTCCTAGGTATTGGTCTTGGAGAAGCCGGTGTACTCCCCGGAATCCCCAAGTCGTAGTGACAGGTGAATGTTAGGGATCTTACAATTATTCGGTTTGAGGTGTACCCGGGTAGTCGGTTATTCGGTTACTCGAAATCGGTGAACCGGTTAACCGAATAGTGCGGTTTTCCGGTTGCAGTTAACCGGTTAACCGAATAGTGCGGTTTTCCGGTTGCAGTTAACCGGTTAACCGAATAATGCGGTTTTCCGGTTGCAGTTAACCGGTTAACCGAATAATGCGATTTTTCGGTTGCGGTTAACCGGTTAAATAAAATTTCAAAATAATTTGCGATAAAGAAATAGTAGGGTTATCGACTTAGTTTTTTCGTGAATTGCGTTTTTGTTTTCTGTTACGCGTGCGAAAAGTGTGCAACAAAGGGAGAAATGGGTGTGTCGCGATAGCTAGCACATTTCACGCTTGCCAGTGTGAGATTAGGGCGAGCAAACAATCAAATTTGTCATTTTTCGGCGTGCGGAGATTTTTGAGTTTGTGTGCAAAGTGAGTAGGAGAGCGTACATACATATCTTCGATATCGCAACATTAATCACGAGATGCAAAGAAAGACGAGAAAGGGAGAAACTCAAGAAAAAGGATTTTCTTCTTTCCTTATCTTTCTAGTTTTCGTGAAACCACGTTACATACACCGCATTTCATTTTCGTATTCTCGTCGTACAGTTCAACGTTAACGCGAAGGAGAGTGAGTGTAAAAGGGAGCATTGTGATTGCAGGTTGGTGCCGGTTAGTTGTGCGTATCACATTACATCAGAGTCAATTCGAGTGAAGCGTCGTTATTACAGATTCGAAGGCGAGCCCATGAAATGAATGACCTAGTGCATGAAACTACTATACGCGCTCTTTACACCCTGGTAAAGTTCGCTTTAAACACCTCGAGACATACCTATTGCATAATTGTATTACACAAACTAAAAACTACGATATGCTCCATTCACACCCTGAAGAAGGTGATCCTGGACACCTGGACACTCACCTAATGAGTGTCCAGAGTGACCTGTATCCTGTAGACTCCGGGAATGGTTACTCTACGCACCAGGAAACTGATCAAGTTGTACATCGATAGTTAGCCCGCCAGCGGCCTGCTAGCAGGGAGCTAGCAGGCTGCTGGCGGCCCGCTGGTTTTGACTGGGATTACTGTCAAAAAATAAGTATTGTACATTGATTAATCATCATTTTTTATTTTATACAATATCTCTTTTTATACAATATCTTTTAATTGTCTTTGCAAAGCGTAAATATAAATTTTTACAATAATTATAATTATCTTTTCAAGTAACATTTTCACACATTATGTACATTAACAAAATAGTTTTACATTGTGATTAATACAATGTCTATTATAATATGTAAATTATTAATAAAAAATTAATAAGTAAGACAAAATAACGTAGAACAAAACAATATATATATAATGTAGAAGAAGAAAATTATACATATTGTAGAAACAAACGTATTATTGTAACATAATAATTGTAACATAATAATACAAAACAATGAATACGTAACATCAAGTACTTATATTAACTTATCGGTCTGCCATGAAATGTCGATTTTGGTATAAAAATGTTAATAAATTAACATTATTAGGACCTAGACAGTTTCTATTCGGAGTGACAATATTTCCAGCAGAGGAAAAAGTCCTTTCTGACGCTGCTGAAGTTGCTGGAACTGATAAAAACTGTAAGGCCAATTTGAAAATCAGTGAATACTTATCAGAATGATTTTTCCACCATTGTAGTGGATCCAAATTTCTTCCTAACTCTGGTTCTGCCATGTACATTTGTAGTTGACTCTGCCAATTACTTGCAGGTATTTCACTTCCAAAAAGAAAATCAAAGGCAGATGATTTTGGAACCGGTGAATTAGTGTCTTCCGTATCCATAGGTTCACCTACATTCAAGAGTCCTTTGACGTAATCAACTACTTCTTGTTTCATTTCGGCACTCTCACAGGATAAAGACTTATGCCTTGGATCAAAAAATTGAGATATGTGCATAATATCTATTTCAAAGTCGTTTTCTTCAAACCGAAATCGCCGTTTTAACGAAGAGTTTGCTTCTTTTTTAAACTTTTTTGAAACAGCATTATCTTCTGGTGTTGTAGCTAAATGATTAGAGATTATTGAGTGAATAACTGGGCGAACAACAGAAATAGTAACATCTGTTTGGCTACAAAAAATAGTCGTTGCCACTTGAAAGGCTTTTAACATAACCAATAATTTCTCCATGTCGACCCAGTTACTCTCAGTAATTTCTAGCTTTTGTGTAACATCTCTTTTTGTTACTTGTCTGTCTGCTAATACTGCAGAGATCGGAGTTTTGTTTTGTACTAAACTTTCAAACATGAAATATTTAGAATCCCAACGAGTATTACAACTTTGAATCAATTTTTCCTTCTTCATATCCATTTGAATTTGGCGTTGAGCTAAAGAATTGCTGGCGATATTCGATCTCCGAAAATGTGAAACAACTGCTTGTCCTTTAGATGTCAAAGATTCATAATCTGGTACAGCTGCAAAGCAATCGTGTACAACTAATTGTAGTAAATGGGCATTACATTTTACACTATACGGTATTTCAGGTAGCAGATTACAAGCAGCAATAATTGCTGATGCACTATCATGAACAATAGCTTCCACTTTATTCTCTAAGTCCCAATCCTTGATAACGGTTTTTAGTTCATTGGAAATGTTGAGAGCAGTTGGTCTTGCAAAAAGGACTTCGTTACAAAGCGTTGCATGATGCATTTTGCAGTTTTCATCCAGATATTGCGCCTCGACTGAAAGATAGCTATTTTGTGCCCTTGATGACCACTCATCAGTTGTCAAAGATACTTTTTGCGCTTTGCTTAAGTCTTTTTTAATTTTCAACTTAACTTCCTCAAAATAGCATTCTAACCGTCGAAGTATTGTCTTTTCGCAAGGCACTTTGTAACCTGGTTCTAACACATCCATAAAATCTCTAAAACCAGATGTTGAGACTAAAGAGATGGGAAGAAGATTAGTGGCAATTAATTTTGCAGTTGCTTCGGTTATAACCTCTTGACGTTGAGCAGAGCATAGACCTGACCCATCATTTCGTCTCTGTCGCTTTCGCGGGATGTGATATTCTTGAGATTCAGTAAACGATAAAGTAGAAGCTGACAAACTTGAGCTGCTGCTTGCATCATGGTTTTCGCTGAAAACAAATTATACATTTTTGATACATTTATAATAAATATAATAAAATATAAGGATTAAGAAGATAAAAGACAATTAAAGGGCAATTAATAGGATTAAAAACAATTTCAACATGGGTATTAAGACAAAACTAAGTTTTAATGTATTTTAAAAATATATATTTTATAAATAAATGATTAAAAAATTTTAAAAATATCTATCAAAGTTAAATTATTTCTTAAGTTACAATTTTTAAAATATAATAAAATGTTTCAAGTTTTTTATAATTATATTAAAATAATTCCACACAAAAACAAGTAAACACAAATAATCACCTATACTCGAAATGTAGTAAAAGTGTAAAAGCATTTAATGAGTAAAAGTAAAATATAAATTATAAATATTATTATCATCGTTCGTTTCTGTGACAAACTAAAAATTAGATTTATAGACTGAATAATAAGCCATAGGGGTTGATCTTTTGCAATTCTCTCAAATTTGAGAAATATTGTTTCCAAATAATATTAAATAAATAAAGGAATTTAGAAAAAATTAGAAAAGGAAATAATATTCGTTAAAGAAAAAATTTCTTAATATAAATAAAATTCTAAATTATTGAAATACCTCGGTTCTGTAGTTGAAATATCAAGTGGGCTCCTTTTGTGAATCGATTTTAAATGATTGGAGATGGCTGAAGGTGAATTTGAATAACTGATGCTTTTATTGCATAAATTACAGGTTGCGCTCTTTTTATCGTCAGCAATTGTAGCGTAATTCCATACCCAACTATTCATTCGATTTGACATTTTGCTATCTAATAATAACACATGCCAATATTTTATAAACAATAAAACTTATTTTTTGTGAACAATTTATATATGCTGAAGTAACATATTTGATGTTACAGATGCGCTGCGAGCAAGTTGTATAGAGAGGCTTGGATTCAATTGACAGTAATGTGCTATTTCGCGCGTGTTGTATGTATTATACGAAATAACATTTTATGCATCCCCGCGCGTGCTCGTGCGTTGCGGTTAATTGATTAATTAGATTCTTTAATAAGATTTCAGCGCTGGATTAATTCGGTGCTTGTTTTTCCGCTTGATTTTTTTTTTATACTTTAACGTCTGCAATTTTCGTAACGAAAAAAAAGAAGAAAAAAAAAACAACAAGTTTTTTTTTTCTTAATTCTCGTTTCGTCGTCGTCGTTTTTTTCCGCTGTATACCTACCGAAACGATTTCGGTGTCGCCCGCCACGTGATGAAGATGCCATTGCGCATCGAAACGTCACATCATTAAAATAGTGTTTTTTTCATTTAAAACACCCTTGGCTCGGATCGAAGTAAGACGAAACCTATCTTAATTTAAGACAACCTCTGCCAAAAAAAAACAAGCAATTTAATTAATTAATTTGTAATTTTTTGAAGTTTTTTTGATGTACGTGTATACATAATTACAAACTTTTGCAATCATTTTTAAAGGTTTAACTGGCACTCGAGTGATAACTCTTTTTCGTGGAACCCAAAAACAACATTTTTTTATCTTCTACCTGCGTTTTTAATTATTTTTGTTTTAAAAAAGTTATATTAACTTATTCTGTGCATACTGACCTTTCACTTAAGGTAACTTATATTTTTGCGCAATTTTTTTTTGCATGGCTATTATCAGAAGAAAATTAGAGTTATATCGTTATCACACCGATAGTAATAATAAAAAAAGATTGCTCAATAAGTATTATAAAATATGATACCTACGAGTATAATCCCTATTAATAAGAAAATGCAAAAAAATATAAAAAATTAATCAAAAAATTTTATCCGGTTAATCGGATTAGTTAACCGGATCGGTTAACGGTTTTGCAGTTAACCGGTAAACCGCAACCGATAAAACCGGCAATTCGAATAACCGGTTGTAAACCGAATAAAATCGGTTAACCGATTAACCGGTTAACCGAATAATAAGAGCCCTAGTGGATGTGTCCTGAAAGTCCACATTACGTCCGGAGCGCGGTTGAACCGAGTCACGCTGAGAAGTACGGTTAGCACTGGCCATGTCATGCATTGCGTCTTCCAGCTCTCGATTTCGTATGCGCATGTCCTGCGCCTTGCGCTCCGCACACACCTGTAATCCCTGCAGAGTCTGAAGGGTTTCTAGGATTCGACCTACCAACTTTTGGTTATGGTCTACTCCCTCCTTCAGATACTCTATTTCCCGGAAGGCTTCACTCAAGGATAATTCTTCCTGAGGTTCCTTCCGAGTGCAGGATTCCTGCGACCTGGGATCCGGATTGCTCTGTCTCCTCTCCCCCTCCTCCTGCTCTTTCGTGCGGAGGGCCTTCTGGATGAGTTCATTCTCTTCTTGGCGGCTGGCTTCACCCTCAGAGTCCTCGTCCGGGCAGGTGAATGTCCTTGACATATCAGTCAATAATATTCCCTCCCTATTGATGATCCTCAGGGGATGGTCGCTGTTATCATCCGCGTTGGAGTTTTCCAACTCGTCACAGACTGTGTCGAGCCACGCTTGTAGGGCTCGCCTCCTGCGCCCCGCCACCTCTTTGCTGTGCGTGGTCTCTTGAAAATCTGTGGCGGTGTACTCACCCAGCAACCATCTCCTAAGCCTAGCCGCCTGTTGGATGACACTTCCATCCTTGCGCAGTTCCAAATCCGCTAAATAGTGTTCGCGCTGTGCGAAGGTCAGCTCTAATGCCCAATTGTCGATTTGAGCTGACAACAGAGCCACCTTGCCTCCGCACGGGTGTAGGATGCGGTAGAGGTTTAAAATTTCGGCCTAATCGACCACTACCGCTTCCTATCTCCCAAGGTATGAGCGGGGTGTACACTATTTAGTGTTACTACTTTTAATGCCTCCTTTTATAAGGCCTTTTAAAAGGAGATAATGAGCGCGTGCAGTTTCCGCAAACTTTCTATAAATATTATAAAAATATCCTACCTAAGGTCGGAGCCTGCTGTTTGCTTGCTCCGCCTGGCTAATATTTGGACTGCACGCTTGGGTCGCGCTCTCTGCTTTATCGTTGATCAGGTGCTACCAACCCCCCTTTATCCACCAAACTGTGGCTGAAATAGGTTAACACCTGATTATCCCGTACGATCTGAAATCACTTCGACCTACCAATAATTATCGCTTTCGGCCCTTTTTACAATAATCTTAACAATTTTTAACAAAAGGTTCGAAGTGGTTTCGTTTTTTCCCCAGCAGAGGGCGTACCGCTCACAATCTCGCTCTTCCACCCGCTCAAACCTTCCTAAGCGCTCGCGCAATCGTCTCTCTCTCTCGTGCGTCGATTACCTTCGACGCACAATCCTATTCGCACGACACGGGTCTTAATACCAGTTGGGCGCCATGTAACGGGGGGATAAATCTGCAAAATGAGAAATTTATTTAAGAGCAAACTCCCACGATGCAGAGCAAACCGCTGCTCCGTTAACACGTATGTTAATACGTGTATTCGCCTTAACGTCAGCTGACTTAACTTAGTTGTCTTCGATCAAGCAGAGTTGAACTCACCTTAAGTCACGTGCCTTGTGATACTCGATGAGTTTTAAGTGTAATCGACTTTGCTCCTAATCCACTTAATCCCCCAGCTATAATCGGATTAAAACCTAAGCCTTTTTCAATTGTTTAAACTATTAGGAAAAATTATATGACGAAATCGGCGAATAAGTTTAATAGATTTTATTAATAAAAAAATCTCTACAGTCTTTGTCGGGCCGAAAGACTGACGCACGCGAATAGGATTTACAATTAAATAACTTTCGGTGAGAAAGAGAGAGAGAGAAGATACGAATATTGGCGCGATCTAACGCTCGACGCGAATACAAAAAATTAACGCTAACACCGTTGGACAAAATATCAAATGTATTTTGTCACGCGATAATTAAGGGAGGTGCACCTACCCTGCGGTGCAATTACGGTGATCAGCCGTAATTGTTGAAGCAAATTAAAGGTGCTCCTCCGATCCGAATCAGCTGTGCTGCCTCGATTGCAAATCTGCTGTATAATTGCTGGCGATTTTGCTGCTGCTTCCGTGATGCTGCTATTGTTGCTGCTTCCTCACTCACCCTTGCACACGTATCCAAAATCCAAGTAAACTTTTTTATTGGCAAATCGTAGGAACACTGTGCTAAACTATTTTGGCGGTACTACACAAGTAACAGCTGAGACGTAACTGCTAATTCAAAAGATCGCGCGCCCCCTCTCTCTCTCAATACTTAGAACTAACGCGCGAAAATCAGAATCGCGAACGGTTCGATTAATTGAATCGACTACCGTTGCAATGTGTGTATATTATATTAAATAGTTGTGATAATGATTGTGTGTAATTAATACCTAATATGATTTGTCTTTAATCGATGCGACAGGACCTCGCTTACGTTGCGCGTGACCGTTTCTATAAGCTTGTACGCCTGCGAGCCACGCTTGTATAAATCCTACCTAGGAGTCATGGTTAGCTGTTTGCTGGCTCGACTATGTTAGTTATATGGGCATGTGTTAACTCTCGCGAGCATGTGTTAATGCACGTATTTTAATAATATTTTTGGTTGAGTGAGAAAAAAAAGAAAAGGAAATTAAATTATAAAAAAAATAATTATAATTTACATAATACAAATCAAATAAAAAAATGTGGCAGGAGAAGCTCGACTGAAGTTTTAGATTTATCTTTGTATAAATTAAAAAAAATTAATTTAGATTCCTTGTTACGTGCTTCAACGTGTTACTCAACTTCGCTACTGTTGTTAGTATATGCCGGCCAGAGCAATACAAAATGTATAAAAGCTAGCAGTAAAGGTGTCGATATGTAGACTCGCGCGTTTACGTTTCAATGAAAATCCAGCATAACGCGCGCTTCCAAAACGTATCTCTCTTTTTCGCTTTGTTTATGTTGCGCAACATCCAACGGGCACTATACTTATCGCGCAACACTGGCCAGAACGCTTTGCCGCGTCGTTATTGTGACCTTGCTCGTTAATGCTCAATTTTCTCCTAGCTATTAAAGTCGCCGAAATCTGGTTTAACAGAGTGACAATCCTTTAATAACAGATTCACACGGAAAATGAAAAATTTATTCTAAAAAACAGCGATGGCTACTTATAGGTTTTCCGTTCTTTATAAATAACATGGTTATAATAATTTTTGACCTTTTCCATAATTATTGTTTATATGAAAGAGAGTTTGTTCCCAAATTTTGTTAACGATGTAGTTTTTATTTCTAAGTTTCCCTGGTATATGTCTTTTTCAAAAAAATTGCGGAATATATGATGAATGCGATTTTCTATTACTGCTAGTCCACATAGAAGTGGTGATGTGACACATGTAATTTTACTTTTCATCTAGATTATTTTATCATATTAAATTAATATATTACCGGGAATTTATGCATAATATCTATAGATTACAATTTAACCAATCCTGGAAACTTACCTTATATCCCATAGATTGTGTAGGAGTCTAGAATCTAAGACTTATTTTATTGTACTAATTTCATACAATTAACATTGAACTAACATATGTAAGGTAATATCAAAAGTTGTTGTTTGTTCGTTAAACTATGTGACACATTTTGTTCATTGCTATTGTCAAAAAAGTTGTTTCTGTTTTCTAACTAAATAAGATGAAAAGTAAGATAAATTCGACTATTCAACATTTGAAATAAAAGGCTCTAGAATTCTGAACTAAACGGTTATGCAGAAAAACGCTGAGACACAGGTATTTTTAAGGCTAAAAAGTCGATAATTCCGATTCGATACCTAATTCAACATTGGTGTAGTAAATGTATGTATCGATTAAA